GTGACGCAGGCAGCAGGACTGAGCACATATGGAATCCCCCTCTCCCTTGTCTCTCTTCAAACCAGGTTCACATCGACTAGGGGGAATTTTCCTGTTGTGTGAATCCGTCCTGGAACCTGTCAGAAACCAGGGCCCAGCTGATACAAAACATCTGCAGACACTGCACAGGAGAGACCAGACCGGCATCGTTTGTACAGACGCCATCCCAACGATTCAGGAGGTGGCAGCAATTTGCATGAAGCCACCCAAATGCACGCTTCACCACTGTTCTACAGTTGGTAAGAACACACCTTCATTTCCTACGTGGTCCAAGTTATCTGGTACAGCATCAAGGGTCACAGCAAAAGAAGGGCCCCAATACGACAGTGTACTATGGCAGGTACCACTGCTGGCCATAATAATGGAAGCGAAAACAGTTTCAGGTTCTTCCAGTGACTAAATACCAGATCTCCTCAGGATTGTCTCAATGCACACCTCAGCCATGCTGACAATCTGCAGCTAAACAGCATGATAAACAGCAGCACATACGTTCACAACCATCAGGATGACAACAGCTCAGTTTCAACAGCAAACTAGTTTGCCATGGAACTACAGCAATCGCTTGTATCCAGTTTCTGCACAATGATGGCAATTTGCTTCTGCACTGGAACAGGCACCTTTACGTTCTATGGCATTCAGAGGGCTGAAGAAAGTACTTCCGACTAGTCTAGAAAAGAGCCGCTTCTTCAAAGGCAAGTTCTGGAGTGACTTGGTCATCCCAGATCTGCAAGACAGAACAATTCCACCATGCTGTGCTAGTTTTTCTGCACTAACAGCACCAGTCACATGGAAGTAGGGCAGAAAATCATGCATCTGATTTACTTCCCTCCTCCATGAGCTACTGTTTGGAGTCCGGCCATGTCTATGCAATTCCCAAAAGATGATCCATGGACTATGTACCTAATCATTAGGTTACAGTTAGGAGAATCTTATAGAATCATATAATCATAGAATAGTTTGGGTTGGAAGGGACCTCTGAAGGTCATCTAGTCCAACCCCCCTGCTGTGGGCAGGGGCGTCTTCAACTAGATCAGGTTGCTCAGAGCCCCGTCCAACCTGACCTAGAATGTTTCCACGGATGGGGCATCCACCACCCTCTCTGGGCCACCTGTGCCAGTGTTTCACCACCCTCAGCATAAAAAATTTCTTCCTTCTATCTAGTCTAAATCTACCCCCCTTTAGTTTAAAGCCATTCCCCCTTGTCCTGTCGCAACCGGCCCTGCTAAAAAGTTTGCCGCCATCTTTTTTATAAGCCCCCTTTAAGTACTGATAGGCTGCAATAAGGTCTCCCCGAAGCTGCCTCT